TTTTTATTTACTTTTTTATTTTTTTTACCCTTTCCCGTCCCACGGGGACGAGTCGGGGCTGCCGCTCCCGCCTTTCCCCTCACGACGTTCCCGCCTCTCCCCTCAGGGCGCTCGAGCCTCGCGCATGCGCGGTCCCACCGCCGCCTCAGCAGGGAGCCCCTCGCCCCCTCAGCGCACCTCACCTCACCTCAGCCCGCCATTACCTTGCACTCGCCCGAACACTTCGTAATCCACCGACTTGAGCGCGCCGGAGGCTTTGGCCAGGGCGGACATGGCAGCGCCGGAGGAAGAGCGGCTGCGGCGGGTGCCCGGTGCTCCGCGGGCCGGCGGCGCCCGGACGGGAGCGCGCGAGGCTCAACCTTCCCGCGTCAGCGGCCGCCTCACGGGAACGTGAGGGAGGGAGTCAGGGCATCCCCGAACCGAGCCCTGACAGGGAGGGAGACACCGGTCCCTCCGTGAGGGGAGAACACCTAGCAGCGAGGAGTGACAGCGCTCGTCCCGTGAACGGAGGGAGAACACCTCACGGTGACAGCGCTCGTCCCGTGAATGGAGGGAGAACCCTTCACGGGTGACAGCGATCGTCCCGTGAATGGAGGGAGAACACCTCACGGTGACAGCGCTCGTCCTGCGAATGGAGGGAGAACACCTCACGGACCGAGAGCATGAGGGTCCCGGCGCCGCAGCCCTGAGGGGCAGCCACAGCCCCCGAGCGCCCCGTCGGCAGCACAAGCGGCCATAGCGTGTCCTTCAGAGCCCTCACATGTTGTTCTCGCTTCTATTTGAAATTAGAAATACCTTGAGAGAACAGACTTAACATCACCATCTCCAATTCCAGGGCTGCCGCTGCCGCGTATTGACTCACCTGAAGTTACCCCCCTCAAGCATCCAGCGCACAGGTAAACAGTATTAAGCTTTTTCAGGGATTTACAGGAATCATTCAGACAAAGTGTTCACCATACATGGCTGAACCGAGGTAATTTTGCCTGATAATGTGGAAAGTTACATAGTTGAAAGCTAAAACACAGCAAGAAACCCCTGAGTTTATCTTTGGTATCCATCCCCATCAAAGCTGTTCGACAGACTTCCCTCACATCTCCACATGACTTAAGCCTTCAGCCAGAGATTTATCAGCCCATTTCTGTTCCCTGTTCAGTCCTTGTGCTGGGGCAGCAGATCTTTGAGACAGGAAACTCACCTCATGCAAACTATTTACCCAACTTCCAGTTTTCATTAGCAAACCTTTCCAGAAGTGCCACCACGTAATTTCTTTTATCTATATGCCACATGTGCAAAAGCAAAGTCAAAAATGGGCTATTTAGTAAGCTGAGTCTGCAACCAAACACCACAAAGGTTTTTCTCCAGAGTGTTCTATGTCTGCTTGCAGTTTAACTCTTCCCCCCAATATTTGCTTTAAAAAAAAAAAAAAAGTGTTTTCAGGCAGAATTTTACACTAGAAACAGCATTTAACCAACCTGAGAAGAAAAACTCAACCCTCTCTTACTCAGCAGGTAAAGGCAAGTTAACTGTGACTTTACAAATCAAAATAATTTTATTTGCTTTCCCCATTAAGCAACTCCCTTCCACATACAACTTTTTGTCCTACACCAATGCAGCAGAGCCCAAACTGTTCACAGGTTTGGATCTCAACACTAGAGGGAGGTTCTAGGATCCCTAATTTAATAACCCATACTTCAGCTTCAGCATTGCCACGTTATTCCCACATCAGAAGAAAACATTGATTTCCAACACGAAACAAAGCAGTAGAAACTGAAAACAACTTATTTGCTCTGAGTGTTTTTAAACGAAAGAGTATCTCAGCAAATGGAAACCAAACTCTGATTTCCCACACAGTCAATTTTGTGTAATAAATTAACCAGAGGAGTGGCACCAGCACATGGAGTCTATTAAATATTTAGAGGTTATTGAAATTCTTTCAGAAAATAGAAACTTCCTCTGGGAAAACAACAGATTCCTCAGGGTTTGTAAATATTTTGCAGCCCAAGGTAAGCAACTTCACATTAAAAACACAACACAGAAGAAAGTGACTACAAATCATATATAAATCCCTTTACTGGAAAGTGTAACACCATTTTCTGTGCAAAGCCACCTTCTCTTTACCCAAGTCCAGCTTTGAAGCAAGTCCTGGATAGGAAGGAGTTGGCAGAACATGCACTAATAATTGTCCATCCACAAAAGGAAAGTTTTACCCTCACTCTTTATTGAGAGAACAAAACCCTGAAGGATTTTTTTATAACTCCCAACAATCTCCCTGTTTACCCTTGCAAAAAGTCATAGTTGGAAGCAACTGAATTGAGGTTTGTATTTTTTCCAGGCATCATTTCCTCAGAGAAACATCATTTAACCACCCTGAGAAGATGAACTCAACCTTCTCCTACCCAGCAGTAAAGGCAAGTTAACTGCAAACTTCACAATAAAAATAAAAATAATAATTTTATTTGCTTTCCCCATTAAGCAATTCCCTTCCACATACAAATTTCTGTCCTTCAGCAATGCAGCAGAACCCAAACTGTTCACAGGTTTGGATCTCAACACTAGAGGGAGGTTAAAAATACATAAAGCCCTAGAGGAATAATAAAATTACTTTTTCAAGACACACCAGTTAACTAGATAAACAACCAACTAGATAAACAACCACACAATTCAGCACAGAACACAAACATTCACATAAATCAGAAAACTTCCAGTATCACAGCAAGTAGGAACACAACACACCAAGTTTTATCATTAACTATATGACACATTAAACCCCTGCCTTTTACAGGGGCCATACATTTCATCATCATCATCATCACATTTCACTACTGTGGAATCAGCACCATTTTGTTTTGGAAGAGGAGGATTCGACAGAAAGAAGAACAGGACACAGGACAAATGGAAAATGCTTTGTAATTTGCTGCCATCTGGCAGCAGTGAAGAGCAAGACAGGTAAAAAAAATAGATTTACAATAGCAGCCTAATTACACCACAAAGCCACACTCCACACACTGTCCTGTTTCAGAAAAGTCAGTTTAAGAGATTTTTTTATTTGGCATAGGAACATCTCACCACCTTTCCCCCAGACAAGCTCACGTCTCTCGTTATTTCATGGCAAGTAGCAGGGCCTGAAGAGCTCCAAAAGATGAGACATTTAAACATTTCATATTTTACAGCCAAAATAATCAATATTAGAAATCAAACACAATTCAAATGCCTTAATTAACATGAAAGCTTTAGCACACACTACCAAGAAACACAGTCTGCATGAAGCTTTGAATTCCCTTCCCACTTCCAGGTGTTTATTCTAAAGTGGCAACACTGGCCTAAGGAGGATCAGTTGGTTGCAATTCCTAAAGCTACTGCCAACTGTAAGAGAGTCCTAAACAGCTCCAGCTGTTGAGGCACAGGACACGCTCTGATTATACTGCAGAGGAATGCAAACAATTATGAACCTGCAACAAACAAGTTGTATTTTTGGATGGACAGAATTTGTGCTGTAACAACACACAGAGATACAACCCCAGAGTCTCAGAGTGCTGCCAACTTCCCTGTTGCCACATGCTGGACTCAGTTTGCTACTCAGTAAATCAGGGTAACCTGTTTGTTACTAAAGCAAAGCAGCAACAGTCACAACCAATCTGAGTGAGAAATTCCAGGCTGCAGTGAATTCCAGCAACACCGTGGTGCGAATTTGCCCAGGCCTCTGCTACACTCACAAAAATTACTTCTTTAAGATTCCTCTCTCATTTCACCTCAGCAATTTCACTTTTTCTGTTCTGATCACTTAGTAATTCAGGTCTGGGCTAACCAGCTTTTACTCTTCTGCCTCCTGCAGAAGACACTGCTTTGTATTCTCACCTCTGACACACAGATTGACTTTCACTCCCAGCACAGTGTTATCAAGGAACAACGACTGCTACAACCTCAGCTCATACACAAGGGTTCCTCTGTTCTGGGAGCTGCCTAGAACAGGCATTTCCCTGGCAAGTTTTTTTACAATTGGGAAAACTCAACTATAGGCAGGGGTAATTTCACTACTAAGCACTCTGCTCCTCCTCTGAGCATTAAACCTTTAAAAAATTCCTTCCAAAACTCCCTCCAAGCACAGAAATATTTTCCCACAATGCTGTTTTCAGCCATTGCATAAAAAAAGGACACAACAAGAAATATTATTATTGGAAAACACCATAAACTTCTAATAGTGCCATTGCAGCCAAACATTAGGGAACACCACAAACACAGCAATGCAAGGAGCAACCTCAGCACAGCAGTAAAAACAGTCTCACAGTACCTGGGCAGATAGAGCCAGGGGGTGGCAGCAGAATCCCTCCAGGAGCAGAAGGCTGGGCTGGAAACACAGCTACAACTTACAGGTAAGGTCCATCCAAAAGGAAAAGCTGAAACCAGCAGCTAACACAAGCCTGCCTGTGACTTGTAAGGAACAGCTCTGCTCAGCCCTGAGCTTAAATACAGCTCCTGCACCAAGGGGCAGAGGGGGTGTGGTCGGGCCCCAGGTGAGCATAGTTGGGTCCAGGTGAGGCTGGTTGGGTCCAGGTGAGGCTGGTTGGGGAGATCAGACCTATCGTTGCCCTTGACACTGGCCACTACCAGTAAAAAAATAATTTGATAAAAGAATCTGCCCATGATGGCATTCCTGCTCTCCTGCTGCCTTTTAGTGTGAGAGTCTCTTGATTTATCTTTAGCTGTGCAACTCTTGTGTATCTGAACAAAACTCTACACCCAGTTCACTTGCAAATGGTCCCCGTGTGATTTTGGTGAGTGTTTTCCCAAAGGACACCAAGGCCTCTGAATAAAAGAAGCCACTGCTGCCCTTGCCAGGTTTTTGCTGTTACTTAGGGAGCATGGAATACCTGGAAAGAAGGTTAGAACCTATGCAAGCTTAGTTTGGCCTTTTCACCTTCTTTTTTTTCTACCTCTTTTTTGCAAACTGTATTGTTTTCTTTCCTTGAAGGTAGTGCACTCCCCTTCTTTGGTGTTTTCTTTTTCAAGCAAAATCATAAACTTCTTCCCTTCCTCTTTTCCTTGTTCCCATATGGTGTTTTCCTCTCCTAAGCTGCATTTTCTCCCATAACTTTATTTCTGAATGAAAGTTAATAGGATTGCTGACTCTGATTCAAAGCTGCACAAGCTTCTTCGGGGCCTTTTTCGCAGTCCTTATTTACGTCACATCTAAATACACTGAAAACCCTTTGAAGGCTTAACCTCCCAATTATTTTTCCTGCAGTTCACTGCTTATCAGTAACTTTCTTCTTTCCAGCACTAAAGATAAGGTTTGGAAGCCTGAAGTGCCAGGCAAACTCACAGAGGGCTTCTCAGAGAGCTTCAGTCTGCCTTCTTCAGTCTAAGATATAAAACAAGGGTTTGTTGTAGGATTGCTGAATAGAAACGTTATGACTGTGCAGAAACAAACACAAAATGACTTTTGCTCCATAAGCTTTAGCACCAGACAAGGGAGTGTTCCTGGTGCTGCAAGGGACCCCTGTAAGGGGTCTGCCAGCACTGCTGCCAACAGCCATGAGCCAGCTCACCTAGAGGGAATTAAAAACCAAGTGGAATGGATGTAGAAGCGTCAGCTCAAGTCAGGCTTGAGGCTTTATATTCATATACCACAGAGAGTCTGAGCACTGTGTAGGAAAAAGGGGTCTATTAAAAGAAAGCAGAAAGCATCTGGACCTAAGTTAATAAGCCACAAAACAAAGTAGTGCCTGGTGAAAATGAAATCTCATGTTAAAGCAGAACAACACAGGAGGGAATTGTGTTCTTTACCTGTAGGATAAATGAAAACTTACTCTGTGTGGCAGAACTGCGAAAATTTAAATTCAGGCACGTAAATTTCATAAAACCTTTGAGGAGGATCTACCTGGTTACTTATGTTTCAATTATTGCTGTGTGGCCTGAAGAAAAACGTCAAAGGAAAGGTCGAAAGAAATACTCTGTTTGGTTTCGAAAGAGGATCCGATTGCCTTCTGGACAAATAAAAAACAACAATGGGGCAGTAATAGTGGGCAGGCAGCAAACAACAATTGCTGCAATGCTGGCTTGGTGGTTGAGTGATTGATGAGTCCCCAGGTGAATCTCCAGTGTGCCCAGAGCAGAGGGAGGTGACCTGCTTGCAACACTTGTCTCGTGATCCGTTTGTGAGACAAGCTCCCGAGGCAGGAACCCGATCCGTGTGGGAGGACCCCCACCTGTGCAGCCCACTTAGGCAAGCGCAGGGGGAGAGTCCTGCCCACACAGATCAGGTGGCAGGGCTGCAGCCAAACTTTGTGTGCAGGGACCTAAATTTGTCCCTCTCGTGCTCCAAAATCCTGGACTGGTTACGTAAAGTAACCCGAGTTCTCCAGTGAGGGATACAAAATTGTGAGCCCCTTGTTTTCCTGTGGCCAGACCATGTGGTATAGATTTTGTGTTAGTTTGGGTTTATTTTTGTGTTATACCCTGATCCTGTCTAGGGCATGAAGTCCTGTCAACTGCCTGTTTCTCTGAAAGGAGCTTTTATTTTTTAAGTTAGAGTAGCAATGCCCAAAGTTCTTTTGCTTGTGACCCTATTCACAGCTCAATAATTTTGTTTGACATCTTCTAAATATATGAATATTTGATGAAACTAAACTTCTGTTCACTTTTCAACGTTTTTATCATTGCCTTGTCAAAGTCCTTGGTTTGTTTAACATTTTTTCACACTCCTCTAAGGCAACAAACCCTAAACCTCCACCAACAAAAGCATGTGAAAACAAAGTGCAGATTTTTTCAGTCTAAATTAAGCTTTTAAAAGTGTTTTCACTGATGCATAAAAAGAGACTCCTTAGGTAAGTAGTAAAATTTTAATCTGAAATCATAATAAGGAGCTGAACCACTAGGTAAAAATAAATACTTACTATGAGGAAACCAACCCTGGAAGGTTGCATCATCATTTGTAAGTTCTCTTAAACCATAAAGTGCTGGTAATTAAAACATGAGCATGTGAATTGATGTGTCCTATGGCAAAAGGAATTCACATCAAACAGAAATGTCACTGATAAATTATTGAGTCCTAGAGCATGAGAAGCAGGTGTAACTTGAGGGTAAATCTGTCAGTCCTCTGCTGGCATAAAGGGTCAAGTCAGTCTTGGTTTGGTGATTAAATCTAAACACAGACCTGCCTACTGTAATGCCTCCATTTAAATTATTTCATTTTAAAGGATTTAAATTTAATGGGGATAATGGCATTACAGAGGGTAAGTATATCTTATTATTTTATGTAAAGCCAACTTTATAAGCAATTTGTGAACAAAGGGACAATTAAACCCTAATAATACTTTGATTCTGTGAATCCAAGACCTGAGTGTTTTATATAAATTAGATTCTGAACTAACAAACAGGTAGAAGTAATTTTATTCAGGGAAAGTTTATTCTGTGTGCAAACAACGTTAAAATTCCCTCTTACATTTAGAAGGAGAACATTCAAAGCCTTAATCACCTGGTTTGATAGGAAAGCAGGAGAATCATCTGACATTTGATTTATGCAACACCCATTCACAGGAAACTCATTAAAATTTGAGGGGCACATTGAGGTGCTGCTGAAACTTATATTTTCCCCCCTTGCACAACATTCTGAGGACGAGATGTGGTCATTTAAGGCAGTGAGTTCTTTACTCCCCTTGAAATGTAGGAAATGTAAGCATCACCCTTTCCACAGCTGCCAGAACAACACTGTCAGATACGGGGAGGATTTAGGGCTCTACAAAAGATCTAAGAATGCACAAAAGAGCGTGGGCTGGTAAAGGAATGGTTTCTCAGGGAGGTGGGTTGACAGCTATTGCATTCTGCTGCTCTGTGAAACCACTTGATTCATTCTCCTTAACTGCATCAGACCTTTATTTCTTCTCACAAGCGACAAAGAGAAACCCTAATTAGTATTTTGGGGTCTTGAACTGTATCACTGCAGCCTGTGCCATCAGGGAAAGTCTCACTGAACTGACTGCTACTCCAATACTTGGAACTGGATAACTTCAAAGGCTTAAGTGACAATTTGTGTTGAACTGGACAAAATGAGCTCTCTGCTGTTATTACAGGATCTCAGATGGTCCATAATTCCCTGGTGCAGGACCTGGCACCAGGAAGAGGACACAGGGAAGAATCACAGTTCTTCCCTGAAGAAGCGTTGTTTGCACACTCATTGTGTTCACCTTCCCACATCATTCTCCGAGTCTGAATCTGCTGATGAACTCCAGCCAAAGGTATGTTCTAAAGACATTAACTTGTGATGAATTTGGTGAAAATCAGCATCTGGACAAAGGAAGATTCTCTTGACTGTGGTTTTTGTGGACGACACAGGTCTATGTAATCATGGATGGCAAAGAGGCCTCGTTATTTCTCCCATAGGAAAACTCATGGCATCAAAAAAAAAATAAAAATCACCAGATAAAAATTTTATGACAATCAAAGGGGAACAACTTTTCCCGCTGTGCATGAATCAGAAATTGTGGCTGCAGAACACGATGCCAGAACATAATGAGCTTAAAAAGCAGATGAATGAGGGGTTGGAAAACCAATTTAGCACCATTAAGCACAACGAAATAGCCCGTGACTCAGGATGTCTGCCTGTGAACTGAAGCAAAGGGAGAACATGCAGGGGGGAAGTGAGATTGTGTGCACAGCCAGTTCTTAAATCTTTAGTTCTCAGTTTTAGTCTTGTCACAGGAAAATGTTCTCGCACATTTCCGCAGCAAAGGCCGAGGCCAGTCTGAAAGAAACTGAAAGCTGTCCTGGAGAAAATAAACATTTCCAGGGGCTGGAGAGAGAAAAAGGCACAGAGCCCAGGAGCCCAGAGAGAAAATAGAATATCTAAGTGAATATTCAAGTTTTAAAAAATCCCAGTGAGGCAGCCAAGAGGAAATACTAAACAAAGCCACCCTGATGGGACCTGCTGCTCCCTGAGAAGCTCCTGGAGAGCTGGTGGACGCCACCATACCTTCTGTGCAGAGGTGTGGTGGCATTAGGTTGTTTGCTGGGGATATCTGGGGATAACCAGAGTGACTCTGACCCAGTTTCTTCTAATTTCAGAGCCTGTCAAGCCTCCTGCTAATACCATTCCAGAAAGGCTGATGGCTCCATCTTTCCCGGGCGGAGGGAGCTGGAATCTCCAAGGACAACCGCTTCCCCCGCTCTGTCTCTGGGTAAGCAGATTAATTCAGAGCACGGTTACAGGATCTGAGCGTGCATTTGGCAAAGCCAGGCAAGCATGAATCAGGTTCTGCATCCGTCCCTTGCAGTGCTACTGAGCAGGAAAACACGTGGGGGTTGGAGATAGTGGTATCACATCAACGGCTGACGCCCACTGGATTGTCCTGCAGAGCCCTCTCTGCAGATTACAAGCTGGTTTTTTCTGCTCTTTTTGTTCCAGGCAGATTGTCTTTCTCACTCGAATTTTTAAACCCCCTTAGTTCTTTCCCCCAGTTCTTGGTACTTTGCCCAGCAGAAGGGCAGCTGATGGCTTTGGACTGAACCCAGCTTTGGACTAAAACAGTTTTCCTCTGGGCTTGGCCTCAAAGTAACAACATACAGACGTGGCAAAACAGACTCTTCCCTCTCCCTAGGGTGTCTCTGAATTTACAGGCCTACAGTGTTCTTTAATTGGAACATTCCTTCTACCCTAAACAGCCTTTCTGACAGTTATATTTCCGAGGCTGTTAATTTACAGTCATTGTTTCACCGTGAGCTCTTCTTAATGGGACACCTGAGACAACAATAAACCAATTTAGAGTTCCTTGAATCTCAGCGTTAGTCAGCAGGACTGGCATTGCCATAATCATGCTGCTGACACAATTACAGTTATTATCCCCACATTACTGGGGCGTGGGCATAAACAACATGCCACCTTAGCCCAAATGAATCCTAGACAGCTCTGAGTTTGCTCCATGTGATCCTCTCAGAGGGTTGTTAATCTGCTGGGTGTCTCTCCACAACATCCTGGGAGAGAAGCTGCTGCTTTAGAAATGTGCCAGGAAGTCTCCTGTGCAGATTCCATGCATGAAACCCGGAGCAAAGGGTAAGTAATTCTTGGGCAGGAGAGAAAGGACTGATTGCTTAAGGGAATGTTTAAGTGAGCTTGCTCCTCTTCCAGAATTCATAAATATTTAAATACTTCTGATCCACACGTCCAAACAGTGAACACTCAATCCACCCAAAGAATCAAAGCCTGAACAACCACGGGAGCCAAGGCCGTGATAAACACAGCAGTTATTTGTGCTGAGTGCTGCTTGAAACAAGGCTGGAAACCTGAGCAAAGGTTTTTGGCTGTTATTTGATTTATCCTGGCTTGGGAGAACAACTATTATATGGTTTTTTTTTCCCTTTAATAGCCATTGCCAGTGTCTCCTCTTGATGATGAATAGACAAACCGGAGGACTGGGAACTGCAGGTGAAGCTGCAACAGACACACTGGCCACTGAAAAAACAATAAATAGGATCAGCTACCCAAGCACTCGGGTAAAGTGTGTCACAATCCTGCTCTGGCAAACACAGGCAGCTGTTTGGAACACCCCAGTCCACAACGAGCACTTTCTGTGTGAGTGACTGCAGGCTGCCAAGGGACTGTGCTTCCTTGATTTTCCTAGAACAGCAGAATCCCTGGGATTGACCTTTGGGAGTTCACTGTCATCACATGCTCCTCTGCAGCTGGTTTCTGTTTGGTAAGACAGCGAGACGCAAAAATCCATCTCAGTGGCTCAAAAGGAAAAGGGAAAAAAAAAAAAAGTAATGCCTCTTTCCCCAAAGTTGGCTGCATTTCTGTCACGTCCAGGGAATTATTATGTATTTCAAATGGCTGTGAGTAACTTGGAAGGAGCCTCTCATAATGAGGCTCAAGCCTCTTGCTTTTTCTCCCTGCAGGCACAATAGTTTCCAGGGATATCTTTGGGACTTTCAGACATGTGGAGGAAACAGACTGTCAAAGGCAGATTCTCTTGTGTGGATTTGAGACAATTTTGCTTTCCAAATCTTGGGCAGTAAGGCACCTAAAGAGAACCAATCCAGGAAGTGGAGAGGGAAAACAAGCTTTGCTGTAAATTCATTTATTTCACCAAGGAGGATTTAGGTCCTGTTTTTGTACAAGCAGTGACTGTCCATCGTAAGAACAGTAACCCACTAACTTCAGTTGGGAAAGAGTGGAGGCCAAACAGTATCTTGTGAGTGGATATAACTGAGGGTGGATGAACCACTGGGAATGTAAAGTGCAGGATAACAATGTTGCACGTATTTGGTCAGCCTTGTCTATGCAGTAAAGTTTTACAAATCGTGTAGGTGCCCATAATGACACTTTAACCCCTTCCTAAGTGCCTCTTATTTCTGCTCAGCAGAGGCTGAACTGAGAAATGTTCCACTTGTATTGGAACATGTAGATTTAACCAGGCGTTACAGAAACAGCCCAGTGTTCAGCCTGTGTGCTGTAGGTGACACTGAACCCACCTCCCCATCCAACTTGAAACAAGTCATAGAGCATTTTGGCAGCCTCATTTTAGGGACCTAAAATTAGTTCCTCTGAATCACGCTTTAGAAGAGCCTATTTCTGTCCCATACTACACAGGAAGCCCAAGTTCCTTGGCATCTCGTTCAGATGCTGAAATCATTCTTGTCCTCATCCTGCAAACAGACAAATTCTCTGTAAAATAGAACTTTATGTAATGGGCATGTTTCTAAGTTGTCCCTTTGGCACCTTTCAGTGCCAGCTTCGGATGACTGACCGATTCAGGAACACTGGGATGAGGGAAAGGGATCCTCATCAGAAAAGCAAATTATTCCTCTTTATTTGTATCATGGGGATTTGTGAGATATGAGGGGGTCACAGACCAGGACAGGTAGGATACAGGTAACATGAAGCTCCTGTTGGACTGGCTATTCTTTCCCAAACTGTAACATCACAGAATGGCTTGGGTTGGAAGGTGTAGAGTATTTGCAGGAAAATGGACACTGTTTGAACAATCCATATTTTTGAGAAGCACTAGGCCTGCTTCACATAAATTTGAAAGCTGCAAACTGTGTGAAAACTCGGTGTGTTTATACTTACAAACTGTGAAACTATGCAACGTTTATACTTGTTAGCTGGGTGAATACTGCATGTTTATAGTTAAGGTACGAGAAAATCACTTGTTTCTAGTTGAAAGTTGTGGGAAAACTAGAGATAAAGGGACACCTGCAAAACCCCGGGAAAATCCCCAAAGGCGGACCCACAGGAGGGACTTTGGGTGGCAAAAATGATCTCAGGCCGCGTGGACAGAGCTTCAGAACCAATAAACCGAAGGCGTGAGACGCGTGCACAGACCGAGCTACCCAATCACCTTCTTGTAAGCACGTACCCGGAAGAAAACGAAACCGTATAAAAGTTAACTCATTTAAATAATAAATTGGACATCGCTTTGATCGCATTGATCGTCTGCGCGTCGTTCCCGAACTCCTGCCGTCCATAGGTGGCGTTCGAAGGGAGACAGGGACCCTTCAGAGTGCCCTGTTCCCCGAGGACAGTGTCGGCAACGGGAAGAGGGGGCAGGAAACCGGGAAAGAGCTCGAGCCACAGTCGACTTGGAATCTCACCCTAATCAGGTGAGCGGCTGGGGAGGAGACGGGGCCAGCACTGAGCAAGGAGGAAGAAGCGGTGCTTAAACTCCTCCAACATATTCTCTCCGAGAGAGGGTTATCCTATGATGCAGGTAGCCTCAAAGGGCTGTTAAATTGGGCCCGAGATAAGCGGTGTATCCCCACAGTAAATGCTGCCTTCGAAGTCTCGGTACGGGAAAATATAGGGAAGCAGCTGTGGGAAGAGATCACCAAAGGATCTCAGGACGCAGTTCGCTACCCAGCATTGTGGCGACTGTTAACCGATACGCTGCAATCCGTGAGAACTGAGAGGCAAGTTACCGCCTCAGCCTATGCTGCATTAGCGAGCAGCGAAACTGAAAGCAAAGAGGGCGGGTCGGCTTCTCAGTTTTTATTCACCATTCCACAGATCCCGCTGCCGGCCAGCTCCAAACCGCAGGCTCCTGCCCGACCGTCAGCCAGCGGCCCCAGCGGTCCGTCCTCAGCCCCGGAGAGCTCCAGCTCCGTGCAGGACGCCGGGGAGCCCACTGCCAGCAGCGCCTCCACCCGCGGCGAGCCCGGCCACGCTGGCTCTGCTCTGCCGGAGCTGCAGCGCCGCCAGCGCCATCGCCCCCCCCACCGCGGGTCCCCGGTCCGGGAGAGCCCCCCCAGCCCCGCCTCGGCCAGGAGCCTCCGCCGCTTCTCCCGCCGCGCCCTCCGAGGCTGCTGCCGCGCCGCCGCCTGGAGCCGTGCCCTGTCCCGCCGCCCCCCCACCGCCGAGCGCCGCCGGCCCGGCCAGCGCTGCGCGTCTGCCGCCGCTGCCCCGACCGCGACCGCCGCTCGCTCCGCCGCTGCCGCGACTGCGCCTGCGCCCGCCGCCGTGACCCGCGCTGAGCGGCCGCCGTCGCGCCCTGCTACGTCATCGCCGCGCGACGCCGACCCCGACCCGCCGGGAGCCGCGGCAGCTTCCGCCCCCCCGGCGAGCCCGGCGGGACGGCCTCGGCAAGGGAGAACGGGGGGCGGGAGGAATCGCGGACCTGCCCGCACCGCCATGCCGCTCTGTCCCCGGCTGCCGCCGTCTGCGCCTTCGTCTCCGGATTCCGAAGAATCCGATTTCGAGGGCAGACAGAGGGGTTCAAAGGACGAGGCGCAGCTGCAAGAACTGCTGCGGAGATTGAAAGCTTTGGAGGCATCTGTGGCAGAAAAAGAGCAGAGGCGGCAAGAGCCCTCTGCACCCCCTCTGCCACTGCCGGTTCCCCCTATCGCTTCTCAGGCGCAGGCTCCCCCAAACCCTTTTCTGTCCATTCCGCCACCTCCGCAAAACCCATTCATGGAGGGGGGAGAGGGTGAGACCGCGCTGGGAGGATCCATAAATCTGCCCTTTGGGAATTCAGGGGCTGGCGCGAGTGGGGAGAGTCCGGTGCAGAGATGGGAGAGAATTCTGCGAGATGCTATGATGGAGGGAGAGTTTTTGTTAACTCCTAACGTACTTTCAGTTTTTCTAGGTGGGGGGGGGAACAGGAGATATCAGGCTTTAGAGTGGATGCTAAAAGAAGCTAAGGCTGCGATAACTCAGTATGGGTTAAAATCGGGTTATACTGCATCCGTGTTACAGCATTTGTTTTCTTCTACGTTGATAACACCCTGTGACACAAAAATGATCGTTAGCACGTTGCTCTCTCCCCACCAGAAGTTCGAGTTTTATCAGAAATGGCAGGCAGGGTGTGATGCAGCAGCTGGGACCCCCAGACAACAGGGGAATCCTCTCTTTGGGGTAACAACTCAAATGCTTATGGGAACGGGTCCTTTTGCATGGGCAGACTCGCAGGTACAACTTGTCAACGAAGTATTGCAGCTCAGCCAGGAGCTGGCACAAAAAGCAATACAGGCAGTGCTTGATGATAA